GTGAAGGGGTGGCCAGACATGTGAACCTGAGGCAGCATGGTGAAGGGGTGGCCAGACGTGTGAACCTGAGGCCGCATGGTGAACGGGTGGCCAGACGTGTGAACCTGAGGCCGCACGGTGCAGGCGTGACCAGACGTGTGAACCTGAGGCAGCGCGGTGAAGGGGTGGCCAGACGTGTGAACCTGAGGCAGTTTAAAGTGTATTCAGAAGCCAGTAAGTTGAGCAGCTGTGCTAGAGCAGAGAATCCAAAGGGATGAGTGACACTGGCGAGGTAGGGAGTGGCCAGCTGTTGTTGGGCTGAATGGCTGGTTGAGAGCTCAGCAATACCGCTGGTAGGTGGCGGGACAAGCATGAACTGGATGGGGTCAATCGTTGGCCCTCTAGAGGATGATCAAGCAGCCCAGCTCACGGTCCAGAGGAGCATGGTGAACTCAGCCCCACCAGAATACAGATCTTAAGAGGCCCGGCAGACAGACAGCACCTCTGGGTGTCTGAGTGCAGCACTGTTATTCCAGTTGGCCCAACTGGTGTCAGGCAACACTCAAGGAAAGGACTGGGGACCCTGAGGCCCTTGGGAAAGAGCTGAGAGAAGACTAAGATCTGTCCTGAAGAGTGACTGGCAGCTTTCCAGGATGGAGGAAGAGAAGCCAAACTGTATTCCCGAATCTTTGCATAGGAACGATTTAAGTTGTTAATTGAAATTTTAGGTTCTTAGACCCTCTGCTAAGTCATCATCTTATGCAGCCTAAAGAACTTTAGTGATGATAAAGTGGAGAAAATGGGGCTGATTTCAGGTTGTTTGGGGGCTATTTGTTGAATGAGCATTAGAATCAAATACAGTGTATTACAGTGCTTTCCATATTTTGGGTTAGATAGGTTGTAAATAAATTTAGTGGGTCGTGAAATCAATTTAATAACTAGCATTTTTCCTTGAACTAGAATAAAATTGATAATAAAAGGGTAAAGAGACAGGAGTTTTTTCCCCAATGAACTAGAATAGAGAAGAAAGAAAAAGATAAGTAGAAAAGACAAGAAAGGGTAAGTGTTGTTTCTTGTCTCTGTTTCATGCCCTACACACGGTGCACACGCTGGACTAACATAAAATGCATTTTCACTGTGGGTCGTGGCCAACGGAGTTTGAAAACCATGACTTAGAACATCTCACAGGTTGTTAGTTGTATTCTAAACCCAACATGTTTTATTTAATTCTGGTTTCAGAACGTAAAGATAGCATGTATTCTGATCTAATCCAAGATGAAGAAAAAGATCTAGTTATGTCAGATGATGGTAAGTCAGGCGGGTTAGAAACGGTCTCTTTCGTGCTGAAAGTTGTGGCTCCCGTTGTCCAGTCTTAAAGAAGGATGCCGTCCGTGTCAGAACATAGTCCAGCAACCGAAGGAATTTTGAAATAACTCTGTTTCTTTTCTTATACTTCGTAAACACCTTGAAGGAGGGATTAAAAAAAAGTCAACAAAGGTTATTTTTTAGATACTGAAACTACTTCCATGTCATGATACTCTTCCCTCAAACCCTCCCCAAACACCCTAACCTCAGCTCTGCCTCAGGTCTAGCCTCTGTGTTGTCCCCTCCTTCTCACCTTTCCCTTTCTTCTCAGTTCTTCATTGCAAAGCCCCAAATAGCTGACACGCAAATCAGGTTCCTCCTCAGAAGGTGAGTGAGAGGGCCAAGTCAGAATTCTCTTGAACAGGGAAAATCTGGGGGTTTTCTCTCTCTCTCTATATATATATATATACACACACACACATACTATCATACTTGTAAATATTTGTGTAGAGGCTTATATATTTTCTCAATCTGCCTATACAAATCATATATCCAAAAAATAATAATCGTCTAGTCTGTTTCCATTTTTACCGCTTCTTTTCCTGAAGCTCTCCGTGTGGGAGGGAGCTGGCAAGCACAGAGAAGAGGCCCAGTGATTTTTATTGTGGGGACCAAGCCTTCATGGGGAGGTTGGTAGCAAGATGCTTCGCTGAGCTGTTGGGCTGGACATCTGCTTGCTCATATTGCCCATGGGGCCATGGACAAGCCACTGTCATGAGTTGAGACTCCATAAAAAAGTGATGTATCATCTTACAGCTCCTAAAAGAGTGAGGCATTCAGAAAAACTTGGAGTGGAAGGAACAAGAGAGGAGAATGAGAATAACTGCAAACACCAATGTGCTTTAAATACTAAAAACTCTGTTCTTTTCATTCTTTAGTTACTGCAGTAGATTCTGGAGATCTGATTCCTCAAACCGTCTCTGAAAAGCCACACAGTCAAGAACCTGCAGATGGTGGGTGGTAGACAAAATGTTAACTAGTCTTTTCTTACTCTGTAGATAGAACTGCGCAGAAGAGGGGCAAGTGTCCCTGTGATGCAGTTCCTTTCAAACCCTCTCTCCCTCCTCCCACACCCCCATGCCTTCTCCCCAGAACCTAGCTTCCTGCTTTTCTAACAAGGCCTATGACAGTGACAACCGGATCTTCCCTAAGAATGAGTGAGTAAGGAAATGGACACAGATGTATCCCGGAGTCCAGATTTTCAAAGTATATAACTGAGTTGTCACAATATTTTATGAAAACAAGGCTGATGTAGATTTCTCTGTGGTTGGCCAATCAGGGTATTCACCCACACGTTTATTTAAATGTCTAATAAAAGGAACAAATCCATTGCACCTTCCATTCTGAAAGTGCACAGCATGAAAGTGGACATCTTGGGAGTGGGGTAACCATGGGGAATTAGCATCTGTGCATGGAGTAGAAGCAGGACGAGGAGGAAATGGGGCTGACGATATAGCTGCTGACAGAATTCAGAATGAGAAGCAAAGGAGCCGAGAGAGACTGCACACAGACCAGACTAAGGCAAGAAGGAAGCCCGCGTGTGGTTTTGTTCTGTGAAAATGTCTCCTGACAGCCTGTGGTTGACTTCCCTCAGAGAGTCCCTCTCCCCTGCACCCCCACTACTGAATCAGTGAATACAGGAACCCAGTAAACGGAGGAAGAGGGGGGCAGAAGAAAAACTAATAAAAACTTAAGTTACTAGTGTATTTTTGAAATAGTTACATCTTTTCATTTTCTTCCTTTTACAGAGTCTGAAGGCAAAACTGTGGAACAGTAACAGATCAAATTAGACCAACTATGAAATTATTTGGTAGTGTAGTAAATATAGAAAGACCCATGAGTGCCTGTACTTAGGGAAGAATAATTTGAAAGATTTACTTCAGTCTTAGATCGTATTATGCTAGCCAATTAAATAACAGTGACAGCACACAAAAAAGTCAGCTTTTAATCGTTTGTTACCTGGATCGACTGATATGTTTACCTATGACTGCATTTTCTCATAAATTGTTCGGGGTCAATTGCTATTTTTCCAACTACGTTAAAATGGAGTTGTCAGTCATTGCATCCTTGCTCATACATCCTCCTGAGAGAGCCTCTTCCTCCCACAGCCTGTACCTGAGGCATGGGCCCAGGTGGCCGTGTTTGCTCAGATGGCCTGACCACCTTGGCTGCCACTGATTGGGCCAGAGTAGACACACCTCACTCAAGGAGAACCAATCAGAGTTTCTCCTGCTCTTCCAAGCCATTTGAACTGAGAAAATGGATGAGTAAGTTGGCGTCCAAGTGGTGGTGAAGGCGGTGAGCTAGAGAGGGCACAGAGGTCTGCCTGTGAGGTCTTCAGCGCTGGGCAGGCTCACCAACCCCACGAGATCTAGCTGTGCCTGTTTTTCCTTGGATTTGCTTGGTATAACTATGTGTACAATAAATCACACTTTTACTTTAGCTTAGACTGAATAGGTTTCTATTTCTTGACACCAGATGTGGCCTGAATAGACTGAATTATGAGAGAAAAGCATAATATTTTTACCATATAATTGGATGGTTTAAGTAAAAATTACAGTCTTTTATTAAATCAGCAGTAGTCAAACCAATATGCTCATATATTTTCAAGCTAATAGGACCTTCTACAAATGCCAGTTAGGAACTTCTGAAAGCCCGAGAGTCATGTTAAAAAACTGCTCTTTGTGCTTTCTGTGTAGTTTTATTTTTATTTTTTATTTTTTCTGTAGTTTTCGATAGCTCTTAAGGTACAAATTACTTTCTGAAAATCCAGGGAAATTTCAGATGCTTATGCATTGCTTCTGCAGCATCATAATTCGAAACCATGACTGACTTACGCTTGTTTCCAAAGTCAGCACCTGATTTGATGTTATCGTGAAGAAAACCTAATGTCTGTCTGTGTTCAGGACTTGGGGTGAGGTTTGGGGCCCTAAGCCTACCGTTCCCCTGCCTCTCCTTGTGGGGTCCTCAACCAGAGGAGTGACACAAAGAACAGTCACTGATGGGACATCGCCTGGTGCTCCCCACAGAGCTGGGCATGTGGCGGCTGCCCTCAGCGTGCAGGGCTTCTTCATGGTAAGACTGAGCTAGGATGGAAAATGTGCCTCAGACCAGGAAGCCCAAGCAGAGCTTCCTGTTCCATTCCCCTTGAATGAGGCATGCCGATCTCTTGTCAGCAGGAGCCAGGTAGAAAAGCTGGCACAGAGAATACCACCATGAACATATACCACCTTCCAGGGCCGTGGATATTCTTCCTTAGCGATATTCTTCCCAGTTGTGTCAAGCCTGACTCATCAGATACTCAGCCGCTTCGCTAATAGGTGGGCATCTAGGAAGGGGCTAGAGAGAGATGTGGGCAGTTTCTGCTCTTTAGGGACACTGTGGGGAACATCCAGCCCCACTGTCCAGCGTGAATATGAACCATCCCAGGTTTGTACCACCGTAGGATGACTAGGACTCTAGGATAGACCCCCACAGGAGAACAGAACACACTGATTCTAATCATGACACCCACTACTACACATTTGTCACAAATTAATAAGGATATGAAATTATACCAGGAGGAAGGTATGAGTGTTCGCTATTTATTTAAAAATAATGATGGTGCCATTTCAAAAATGTCTCTCAGAGAGGTTTTTTGTTCTTTTTGTTTTTTTGAGTGGATGCACTGCCTCTCACAGTAACATAATTCAAAATGTACACGTTAATTGACCAACTTGGGAAATCTCAGGCTAGTCTTCCCATTAGAAGTAACCTTAATGTGAGGTTATTAAAAATACTTTCTCTGTGTTATTAAGGCTGTCATGGTAAAGGCATGGGGGAGGAATATTCAGTAGAAGATGTAATATATTACTCAGAGAACGGCATTCTGTGAAGAGTGATTACTTTCTTGGTCACTGAAATGTAGGTTGAGTGTACACATCCTGTGACCGGAGCAGGCACTACTAGACTAGGACTCCCTAGAGCCCTGTCCCCAGTCGCTTGACCAGCAGAACTCTGATTTGTCGAGATGGGCAACGGGCCAACCCTAGGGCATGAGCCTTGATAGATTTAATCTAGTCCTCTGTGCCACTGATTGGTTTAGGGGCAGACGTGTGACCGAGTTTTGAACAATGATACATAAGGTGAAGTCTTCTGAAGGTGAGCAGGGGAGGGAGAGAGAGAAGAATGAATGAATGGTATGCAAGGAGAAAGCACGGAGGCTTCCACCTACTTCCTTTCTACTTAAAATGCTGTTCTACCAGGATGTATGGAATGCTTGCAGCTTGGGCTGCCATTTTGTGGCCCTGAGGAGAGACATCACCAGCAGGGTGCCACCAGGAGGGTGGCAGTATGGAAAGATAGAGAAAGCCAGGCACCAGGGCCTGAGGCCTCGAGGAAGCCAAAGAGCCTCTGAACCATCCTGGACCAACTTCAGAATTTCTGTCAAATAATAATAAATAATGTTATGGTTTAAGCCCTTGTTAATTGTGGTTTCTGTTGGTTATAGCCCATGAATATATACTTATATATATGACTATTTATACTTACAGCCAACAGCTATATAACTTGACAGAGAAATACCTTTCAATTTTTTATTGTTATATGTTTTATAGGAATGAATAAGATATATATTTAGATAATTTATACAATTGACTTCTTCCATTCAGCCAGGCTCAAAACCTGTATTGACTCCTGTATTTTTAATATTCTCCCCAATTCTAGTTAGTAAATGCCATCAGCCTAGTTCAGTCCTAGGCCAGTGGTTTTCAACATTAGTATGAATCAGAATCATCTGTTAAAACAGATTGCTGGCCCCATCTCCAGAGTTTCTGATTCGGTAGGTCTTAGGTGAAGCCTGAGAATTTGTATACTTAACAAGTTCTCAGGTGACGCTGATGCTGCTGATCTGAGGACCATACTTTGACACCTACTGCCCTAGCCTATGGGCAGTCACCTCCTAAGGTAGCCACTTCCCCAATTCCCTTTGCCCACACCTATCCCCCAGATACTTCAGTCTGAATTTCACGTTCTGACCACAGGATTCCTCTCCATACTTACCAGAAAATTGTTTTAGGACTTTTTGTTTTTTTTCTCTCTTTTTTTGGTGAGGAAGATTAGCCCTGAGCTGACATCTGTTGCCAATCCTCCTCTTTTTGCTGAGGAAGATTAGCCCTAAGCTAACATCTGTTGCCAATCCTCCTCTTTTTGATGAGGAAGATTGGCCCTGAGCTAACATCCGTGCCCATCTTCCTCTACGTTATATGTGGGACACCTGCCACGGCATGGCTTGATAAGTGGTTCATAGGTCCACGCCTGGGATCCAAACCTGCGAACCCTGGGCCACCGAAGCAGAGCGCACGAACTTAGCCATTACGCCACGGGGCTGGCCCTGTTTTAGGACTTCTTAGTGCCATCCAAACTGGTCCACCCCAGTCCCATGAGCATTGGGTTGGCTGCCTCCCCACCTTTGCACATACCATTTGCCCTGCCTAAAGTGTCCTCTAACCTTATCTCATTGAATCTTCTTTGGGTCTGGCACAGTGCAGTGGCATTCCCTCCGTTGGCCAAATTATTCTTTCTTTCTTTTGATTTCAGAGAGATGAACGTTATGGGACTCCAGCAGACAGAAGTAGCTTAAAGAGTGTTTTTCCTCATCTATCCCCGACCCCAGGTGCACGTGGGAGATAATGTCATCTATATAATTTATTTGCTCCTTTGCAGGCCTTAATGTGAACATCTTTAACTCTGAAATGGCCCTGGCCCGGGGCTGAATGCTTTCTCATTCTGCAGAGGATGCAGAAAGGTTACCCAGCTTACAGCTAAGGCACTGGAAGCAAACCTGGTGACCCCCCCAAGAGAGAGCTGCTGCTCTGCCTCATGTTAATTTCTTCTGGGCAGAAATTATGACCCACAGAGGTTTCTAATCGCAGCTTTCTCACTTCATTAGTTCAGAGAAGCATGATTTCTATACACAGGGGCCGTAAGCAGGGGTTCTGCAGAGGACACACAGTCTCCTCCCCTCTGGTAGGTACGCTTCCCTCTCTGGGAAGGCAGCCACAAACCTGAGTGGGTCTTGCTCAAGAACAACTGCAACAGGCACGCTCAAGTAATGCCATCAAGTCAAGTTTACATCCACAGCCCCAAAAGTTACCTCGGTGTTTGAAAAATCCCATGACGAGCTCTCAGCCCACATTGACTTGACCTATCAGCAGTGTTTGACATGGTTGATCATTTCCTTCTCTCTGGTACTCTTTCTTCACTTGTCTTCCAGGGCGTGACTCTCTTGTGGTCTTTCTACTTCATCCCCATGAATGGCCCCACTTTTTCTCAGTATCCTTTGCTGGTTCCTCCTCTTGTCTCCTCATTATGTTGCACCTGTCCTTGGTTGTCTTCTCTATCTACATTCATCTATTAATGATCCCATCCAGTCCCATGGCTTCACACACCATCTATATGTAGGTAACTCTGAAATTTTTATCTCCAGGCAGTCATCTCTTCCAAACTTCACACTCCTCTCTCCTACTTGAGATTTCCAGTTAAATGGCTAATAGGCAAATAAGTTAACAAATCCCAAATTTGTCTCTTAATTCCAACATCTCCCACCCCAAACCTGCTCCTCCCACAGAATCTCAATAAAGGGGAATTGCATTCTTCCATTTGCTCAAACCAAAACCCTTGGAGTCACCCTTGACTTCTCTTTCTCTAACATTCTACACCCCATCTCTTAGGAAGTCCTGTTGGCTCTACCTTCAAAATATTATTCTGGATTTTCCAGAAGCCATTTGCCACCATTATCACCACTTTGGTCCAAGCCACTACCATCTGTCTTGTGGGTTATTGCAGAGCCTCCTAGCTGGGCTCCCTTCTTCTGTCCATGACCTGCTACAGATTGTTCTCAGGATAGTAGCCAAAGTGTTGCTTTCGTCTAGTGTGAATCAGATTGTACCTCATCTATGTTCAAAAGCCTGTAGGGGCTCTCAGT